CATACTGCAGGGGGATCGTTTTCTTTTCCGGGTGTCCCGGTTTCAGAGGTGCCAGCGAAATAATCCTGAAAGGGGCCTTGAAACGCTTTTCCTATCCTGCGGGCTGAATTTTTATTTTCAACGAAACCGTATTTTCCCATTTAACCTAAACGATCTTTATATGTGTACTATGCTCCGGAGGAGATCGCTTTTATTTTTCATATATATATGTCTATATGTGTGTGTGTGTGTGTGTATATATATATATATATATATATATATATATAATTGCATTCACATATATTAAATATGTATATACATACACACATATTAAATACCGGTGTGCAAATGGGGAGCGGAACCGATCCTATATTCCCTAATTTTATTCTCATCGTTGTTATTAGCAAAACTGCAGTTTAACGCGTGCCAGGGCGGCACAGTGTGCAGCCGAAAGCTCTGGATTGAAAGAGGGGGGCTGTCACCTACCGCAAAGCAGCAGCCGAGCGACCAGAAAGTTTGTGGAGGATTTCTGCCGTGGGAAGGGACGCATGGATTTGAAAAGGGGAAGAATAAAATCTGGACTTGTTGAAACAATATTGCGCGCGGATTTAGCCCGGGGTTGTCCTGAAGCTCTGAAGTTTTCACAGCCCACCCTCCGCCTGCACAGCGTATTTAATCTCTCTAGCTGCGCACGCAAATAAAACCCAGGCCTTCTATATTCCAGCGAATCCTTGAATCTTTATGTTTCCATTTTTTTTTGGAATTATTTTTATTTTTATTTTGGCGAGTCAGAAATAAAACACCAACTGCTCAATTAGATTGAACAACAGGGGTACTTAAAAAGCCAATTGCGGCAGTGTTTAAATCTTTATTTACCAGAACCTTGTAAAGGCAGGAACAATTTGCATTCTATTAACTGCTTTTCAATAGGGCATCGACTGGAACTAAAGGATGCCACTATCCTGCCCTAATTAAAGAGCAACTGAATTACACTAAATACATATGAATACTGCTATACGCCCATAAATAACCCCCGACACCTCGCTATATGAGCGGAGGGCTTCATCAGACGGGAGATCTCCCAGGCTCTGTTAAGATCTGCTCAGACGCGCTGACACTAGATGGCTCACGGGTCATATGCAATTAAAAAAAGAGCCCAATCCAGCTCTCTGCACCCACAAGACATAGACGCTATGATATAGAGGTACTATATGGTATGTCGGCATCATTCTAACATTATGATTATACCGTATTATAATGATGGTGGGTATACATCATTTAACGTATACGTTATATAGGCACCCGCGGATCCCCTGGATCAGGGGGGACGGCGGGGGGTCGTGGCCTTGCTGCCTCCTTCCAGGCCGGCTGGAAGGGAGCCCGAGCCCCCAGGGGGTCAGGGAGTGGCGGGGAGGTGTGTGTAGCCCCCACCCCAGGACCCCACGGACACGAGCGGCGTCTCTCGGAGCAGGCTCCGGCCCCCGGCACAACGGTGCTGCGGGAGTGCGGGCGGGGAAGAAACCACGGTGCGTTTCCAACTGCGGAAAATCGACGCGGGTCAATATTTATTGCGTGCATCGCGCCTCGGCTGCCATGCCACGGCGAGCCCCCCCCAGCCCGGTGGGAAGGCGACGTGCCCCCGTCTCTTGCGCCCACACGCCCGCAGACACACGCAAGTCGGGACGCGGGGGGAAAGGCTCCACCCCGGGTCGTCTAGAAAGCCACGCACATATTCAAAGGGCGCCGTATAAAACATATCCATGGGACGCGAAATCCTGTCTTCATGTATGAGAAAGGAGGCTGAAGGGAGGCCCCCCCCCCCCGCAGCTAAGCGCGTTTAACATGCCAGGATGCACCCCAGTGCTAGCTGGTGTGGCGGGGGGGGAATGGGCAGGCACCCTCAGCCTTTCCGCCCGCAGCCAGCCAGGCCGCCCACCCCACAGGCTTTACAGTTCACAGGTCGGGCTCTGGGATCTCCTGGAGCTAAGGGTGCCCTAGAGAGCCC